AAGAAATGAGGGAAAAGATAGGAATCAATCTGGATTTGTAAAAATCTTGTGAAAAGCTGCTAGTTGTGCAATTTTATTTTGCCTTTTACACTTGACTTTGCTTCCTGATTTTTGGTTAACAACATCTCTCTGTAAGGATGATTAAATGAGACCTTCTTTCAAAGTTCTATTTATTCATAAAACCCAGAAAAGGGAAGCACATGTTAATTGAATCATACTCAATTATACTGCAATTCAGCCTCCTGTGTTTTACTTTATTCCTTTCATAACTTTTAATCATAGTCACAGTTGTTTAAGGAAAAGACTGTTGATTTGTAAAACGTCTAGTGATAAATGTCTGCTCAAATTGATTAAAATCCATGGTTTCCCTTCAGTAGTTTTCAGTCTCAACAAGAATCTATTCTAGGCATATCCCAAAGCCTCAGAGAATACAGTGCTTTGATGCTGTAATAAACTAGAGTCACATGTATCTTTATTTTTCATCTTCCTCCTGGCATTTGGATAAAGCTACAAGATTCCTCTTTAGACTCAAGTGATAATAGAAGGAAGTTTAACTAGTAAAAACTCAGCAGTTGTAATTTGATAAAATAATGGGTTATGTCTAAGGGGAAGGAAAAAAGAAAACAAAAGAAAAAAAAAAAATTAATCCATGACAAAGGTTATAACTTAGGCCAGGGAGGATTTGCAGCCTGGTCTCATGTGAGGTGTCCTTGCTCACAGCGGGGAGGTTGGAACCTGGTGACCTCTAAGGTCCCTTCCAACCTTCACCATTCTGTGATTCTGTGATTGATGCCCATGGTTTGACAGAACTCCAGCCAAGGCAGTGGTTACTTTCACATCACTGTGAATGTATAAGGCTGTGCAGGGTTTCCTGATGATGAATGTAATGCATTCACTGCAAGAGAATTAAGTGTCTGGAGCAAGAAGCTGAAAATTTGATTCCCTCCCCCACCCATCTTTATTAGCTACAGCATTTCATACTAGAAATTAAAAGACAGAGCAAAATTAGGGACCTCACCTACCCCCAGGCTAAACCTAGTGAGGCCACTTAGCAAAAGCAATGCCAGTCCAGCTCTGCCAGCACTGCAGGGACTCACTTTCTGAAGCAGCCTTTTCCTCATGTTCTCATTTCCTCCCTCTCTTCCTCCTCAGCTTTTTGGCTAACAGTTGCAACTAGTACCCCAACAGTTGAACTAAGTCTAAAGAAGAGTCTGACTGATTTAGGGACTAGTCCTAAAGGCAATTGTGATGAGAAATCTATGAAAGCTGCAGAAGGAAGCTCCACACTCAAATCTAAGGAGACAACAGTGTCATCGTCGTTGTCTTCTTTACAGTAATGCTGGAACTATCTATTGACCATAACATTGTAGTATTTAAAACATCTGCACTTTTTCCTCCCTCTAGGTCTTATTTTGGAATTTTTTTCTGTTAAACTATGTAAAGAACCCAAAACATCTGCTGGTGGGATAATTTAACCCATTAGTTGTTTGGAAGATCTACCATGTGCTATGGATTTGTGACAGATAATCCTTGTGGCTTTTCCTGGGTAAGGTAAAATTGCTTCTGTATAATTGCAGATAACAGTAAACATCAACCAGCACAACAAAATGAGATGAACACCAGCACAGATTTTGGTTGAATTTCTTGCATGTTATTAGGTATGTTCATTTGTCTCTACTAGCTTATTGCATTCCTTTCTTGCTTTATGATCAGCCACAGCTTTGCAAATTTTAAATTATATTCAGTGCAATGAGGTGGGATTCATATTTCCAAAATACATGTAACATGTGAGAAGAAAAAGAATCATCTAGTCTCTATGATTAGCAGTGTGTTTCAGTGCTGTGCTACACAGCTTTGTAACACTGTGAAAATGATTGTTTTATTTGTGTATTTAAATGATGAATACTTGGTTAAATGATCTCACTTTCAGAAGAGGGAATGAACATGAACTCTAAGGTAGCCTTAGTTGATAGTGAAGCTCTGCCAGAGGGATAAAAAGAAAGGATTGTTGATTTTGCCAGCTGCAGCAATAAGGTAGCATTTCAGCTTATGAGAGCTTTGTGAGTTTTAACAATTGAGCATTATCAACATCTCCACCAGAGCAGAAAAATAAAGTAACATAATGAAAATTCCACAGTCACAAGGAGAGGAAAAACAAACAGTACACAAGATTCAGTCACTAACTGGCTCCTCTTTATTCTTTTCACATTTTCCATTTTGCATAATGAAAATTCCACAGTCACAAGGAGAGGGAAAACAAACAGTACACAAGATTCACTCGCTAACCGGCTCCTCTTTATTCTTTTCACATTTTCTATTTCCTTCTAGTCTCACTGCAAAGCTCCAAATCTCTGCAAAGCTGGTATCAATCTACAGACTTGGGTGTTTAAGTCACATTCAGATGGAGCAGCAGTGATGGTAAGTTATTTTAAAAAGATTGGGATAAATATTGAGGAAATTATTCTCTGTAGCTTTGTTGATTTGAGGAACAGATTATACCAAAGAGGGAGTTGAATGGGCTGTTATGAGAAGTTTGAAATATTTTTGCTTTTTTTTGAGGGGAAAGTGGCAAGAAAAAAGGTGCAATCGCTTAAAAGACACATGCAGACACAAACACACAGGAATGAGCTGAGGAAACACTGAGCACAGTTGCAGTAGCACTTACTCTCAGCCCCATCAGATAGTACAGGATGCTTATTACCCCCATAGGCAGCACGTAGAAGAGAAAGGAAGTGATCTGGACAATGCAGTTGTAGATCCACATGGGCATGACTACAGTGCAGGTGGCAGAGCCAGGGACCAGGGTGCCATTGGGGAAGTACTGCAGCATGATGCCATGGGTGCCTGTGTTGGGGAGGGCGAAGAGGACCGAGAGGACCCAGAGCACCACGATGGTCCTCAGGGCGCGCTTGCGGGTGCTCTCCAGCTTGGCACGGAACGGGTGGAGGATGGCAATGTACCTCTCCAAGCTGACTGTGGTGACACTGAGGATGGAGGCAAAACACACGGTCTCAAAGAGTGCTGTCTTGAAGTAGCAGCCAACGGGCCCAAACAAGAAGGGGTAGTTGCTCCACATCTCATAGACTTCCAGTGGCATCCCGAAAAGCAGCACGAGCAGGTCTGAGACAGCCAGGCTGAAGAGATAGTAATTGGTCGGGGTCTTCATGTTCCGCTGCTTGAGGATTACCAGGCAAACTAAGAAGTTACCCACCACCCCAACAACAAAGATCAGGGTGTACACCAAAGCCATAGGCAAGAAGAGATGGCTGCGTCTAGGCCCACACAGGAAGGCCAAGTAGTCCTCAGTGCTGTTTAAGTACCTTCTGAGACGTTCTTCATGTAGACCAAAGTGATTAAACCAGGAGATATTGCTGGTCCAAGCCATCACTGGATCTTCTGAAATGTTACACAACCAAGATCTGGTCTTTAAGTTTTTCTGTGCTCGTCTGCTCACTTTTTGCAGACAGAGGAGGTGAGGTGGGAAGTGGGGAGTGGTTGTCTTGCCAGCCCTAGATGCACAAAGCCACCGAGAGCTGTGAGTGTGTTTGGCTTCAGTCAAGGTTTTGCTATTGTAGCAGCTGTTCCTCTGCAAGGAGTTCCTGAGCCAGAAAGCCCCTCCTTTCACACAGATTCATTGGCTCTCTAAGTGCATTAGATTATAGACTAAGAAAAGAGGTTCCAGCTTCTTATATCAGCTCCTTGTATCAGCAGATGCATTTACAGACTCAGAAATGTGGGATTTTAGAGAGCTGGAAATCTGAACTACAGATGGTGAGACAATCTGAAAGATGTTTGTGTTTGTCAGTGGGAAACCAGAAGAAAAAAAGGAACAAACTAGCCCTGAAAACTGAATTCAAAAAGCTTTTACAATATTGTATTGATGCTAGATCCTGTCATGAGCCCTAAGCAAAAATGAGAAACCTGAAGTGATTTCATTTTTCAGATTTCTGCTGGTTTACTTATTTATTTGTTAGCAGCAAGTACTAGGAGACAGAGTTTGTTATTTTTGTAGTAACTGATGTGGAATTAGACTACTCAAATGTTTCAGCCTTTTCAAAAACACTGTTGTTGTGGGGTTTTTTTCTCCTGAAATCTGACACAGGATTTTAATTGCTCTTCTTGTTGATCAAAATATTTGCCCACTTTACTGGTGTGCTGGAATCTGATCCCATGTTCTTAGATAGTCTTTTTTTGGGAATATTTCTAAGGACTGTATTGTTCCAAAAACAGATTTATTGCCTTCAGGTCTATTAATTTTTATAAACTGCTATTTTTTTTTTCCTGAATGACAGCCCTTCTGTGTGTCTTGCAAGGATGGTGGCTGTGTCAAAACTAATCATTTAGCTCCTTATGAATAGTTGATTCCTCATGGAAATTCTCTAAAACCGAAAAGCATTGATGTGTATGGATATGATTATCTGAGATTCAGAAAAAATTAAGCTGTTTGGAATCGAAGAGGTGCTAGAGCTGAGAATTAGTTTAGGGGATTTTGTCATCTTGTTGTGTAATTTGTCTGCCCAGTACCAGCCCAGTGCCCCTCCTTGAAACCATATGGACTTTTTACATCCTTAAAATCCTTTAGCAAGGAACTCCTTCGGTCTCCTATCTATGTGAGAAGAACCATCCTCTTTTCTCTGTTTGACCTTTAGCTGAGTCTACCTGGCTACCAACCTAAGACTAGATATTTTTTAACCTTTCAGGAGCAAAATAAGAGCCCTTTTACTTGGCTTGTATTCTAAATTCCTGACAAAAGCAAGTTTTCCAAGGAAGATGCAAACTACTCCACTACAAGCTGCTAGACAGTAAACTGAACCCACACAAAATCTGTTTTTGATTCCTAAGAACTGAAGCTGTCTTAGATCCTGTTCTCTTTACTCTTTCTGTTTTTAACTTCTTCTGATTTAGTCGTGGTCCAATTACCTTGCAAGAAAAAGTTCTGTAATAACCCCAGCCTGTCTCCAAAAATAACAGCGGGAAGTAAAGAACCAAGGTTTGGTCCAAGAGAGGCATATTTGGTGTGTGGAGCCTGAGGATTTCTGAGCAGTCATTTAAAATGTGAGAGGCATGGAAGGTACCACAATAACTATAAAAGGCAGGGGCATGTCTCTGGTGATGACTTGTGGATCTGCTGAAATTCCCTCACACACAAACCCTCTCCATCAGAAAGACCCTGCTCGGTTCTGTCAGATTTACACAGAGGGGTTTTGTGGTGCAGACTGGAAGGTTTTATGGGATGGGTGAGCTACAAGGGTGCTCTTTTGACCTATTGCTGCCTTTGTTAAGGATTCATCTTAAAAGAAAATCTTTGTATTTTAAAAATGTTGAAAAATTGTGAATTTTATTTTGATCTCCTGTTGATGTAAGAAGGAAGAACTGAGGAATCACTAATAGGGTGCCTGGTGGAGACTAGAAGTGACTGTTTCACAGCAGAGTAGGAGAATTTAGTATCAAATCAAAGTATTTGAGACTTCTTTGATTTGAGACTTGCTGCACCTCTGCTTAACTTTAAGGTTTTCTTTTCCCCTTAATATCTTAACAATATTTTGTTTCTTTCCATTTCTTCCCTTCCCTGTAAGTTCCACTACCTATACTGCATCATAACTGAGGTGAGCAAACTCTTCTAACATGGCTACCAAAATGGTCTTTCTTTTTCTTCTTACATATTAACCTCTGCAAAGAAACTGAAAAGTGAACCTGAGGTCTGTTCAGTTTGAACTCAATTTTAGTGAAAAAGAAATAAAGCTGTGTTGAGTTATTTACTCAGAAGTCAACAGGGCAGCCATTCCTCTATGAGAGGAAAACAATGACTGCAGCAACATGCCAGGTTATGTGAAAGTGTTGGATGTGCCAGGCCCACCTGGCTCTGCTTCCATTTGTTCTCCCTCCTCCATCCTTTCTGATCCTGCTGGGCTCAGATGCTGACAAGCTGTAAGAACAGATGTACAGAAGAAAGACAGGTCTGTTTGTCATGCAGGTCACCCCTGGAACCATGTCACTATGGCCACAATTAAGTGGCAGGTGGAGGGAAAAGGAGAGTAGAAAATATATTGCAGATCATTACTCAAACCTTTGTTAGTGTTTTTTATCGTATCTGTATGAATAAGGGTGGGACAATGTATCAAACCAAAGACCAGTTCTGCCTCTGTATGGCTGGAAATTTTTTTATATTTTTATAACTGGGACAGAAAATTAAAAAAAAAAAAATCCTTTGGAAAATAATATTTCAACATTTAGTATTTTTCATTATAAAACACACTTTATTGGTGCTTGCTGTACTTCACTCTAAAGACAATGGTGTGCTGCATGGTGGCCTCAGAACTGAGCAGTTTTGTGTAATAATAATCTAATTAATATTAAGTAACAATTGCATTAAGGTAATGTACACACTGTAATGTGTATTCATGTGGGGCACTATTTGGAAGACAAGGGTTGGACACAGTACTGGGTTTGCCATAATTCTTGTCAAGCAGGTTCACTAATTTTTATCTTCAGCAATTACAGCCTGGCCTATCATTTCCAATATCTAATTCCCATTTGCAGCTATCGAATCCTGTTGTTTCAGTGGTTTCACCCTTCCTCTGATTTGTACACACTGGAGGTAGGTGCAAAATCCTTTAGGAACTCTGTGTGAGGGGATGCTTCCCAGCCTCTCTGAGCTTGCTTTCCCCACTCTTCCCACAGAGCCATTCAGAGCTAACCCTGGAGCCACCCTGCTTTCTGGAGTGGCAGGTTCAAACTCACTGATTTAATCCTTTGAGACTTTGACAGCAACGTGGACCTCTGTCCCATAGGGATGCAAGGAAGAGGCTGCAGACTTGGTAAGCAGAAATGTGAAACCAAACCACAATGAATATGTTACCACAATTGCTAGAAAAATACAGCCCCACTCCCCTTATAAATAACTGAGCTATAACCATAGGTCATGCATTTGACTTTTCTTTTTTTCCTTCTTTGAAAGGCTTGTTTGGTTCTTTACAGCAGCTGAGATGCCAGTCCTTGTTTTTCCATTCAGTGTAATGTTCAACATGCTATCAAATCCACAGACACATTTTGTACATTTTCTCTCCCTCCAGGCTGGAGGAGCGAGCTGTACCGTAATAACAGCTGGATGTGCAGTAGCCTTTCCATGCCTTATTGCAAGTAATTTTGCAATTATCTAGGCTATTTGCAGGCAGATTTTCCATAGCTGTGCATGATACCTGAAGTCTCCAGGATATCAATCAACACACAGAAGTGGATTTCATGACAACTCTACAAAACACCAAGGAGAGCACCTCTCTGCCTGGAGCATCTGCTGGCAATCTCAGGCAGTTCAGACACAGACACTTCAAGAGTGGAACCCATTTTTGCCTAAGTTTGGTGATTAAAAAAGAGCAAATGAGCCTAAACAGATTTTTCAGGCTCCCACTTTGGTAAGTAATGGAAAGAACAACATCCAGGAAGGGATTTGTCCTAAGTCATAGCACAAGGTAAGAGAAAAGGAGGAGCTTATTTTTTCCTATTGTTTGCAGAGGGTAATAAGGAGAAACAGCTGAGATTAATTTAGACCCCAATTTTGGGCAGACTTATCCATTCTCATCCCATCAAGATGAGTCTTTAGAGTGAGCCATATCCAGGCTTTGTCTTTAAGAAGCTGTTGGGCTGCATTTGTCCTAAGTCATAGCACAAGGTAAGAGAAAAGGAGGAGCTTATTTTTTCCTATTGTTTGCAGAGGGTAATAAGGAGAAACAGCTGAGATTAATTTAGACCCCAATTTTGGGCAGACTTATCCATTCTCATCCCATCAAGATGAGTCTTTAGAGTGAGCCATATCCAGGCTTTGTCTTTAAGAAGCTGTTGGGCTGCAGGCAGGACTGGAGAGCCAAGCAGCAGAAGGAGTGAGAACAGTCCAGTGCTCAGAATCACTCTTTTCTAGCAGGGTGAGTATACCTACTGACATGGCCTTCAGTGATGGATTTCTTTGTTAGTGGTGATTCCAGAAATGAGTGGGAAAGGTGTCTTTCCTTTTTGGAAGCATTTTGTGCTCTGTGTGTGTCTGTGCCTGTGCTTTGAAGAGTCAGTGGGTGGCAGGTACAGAAACGGTTCAAGTTTGGCATTGAGGGGAGCAGTGAAAAGAGCTGAAAAAGAACTCTGGTACAGAAAAGCTTGTCATACTGATTGTGTTCATCATGACAAATTGGCTTGGATTTACATGGGGGAATATGAAAGGATTGTCATGGCAGAAAATGTATTGAAGTCACAACCACAGTGCAGAATGAGTCAGATTGTCTGAGTCAGGGGTGATCTGATCTGATACTACAGGACCCAGATTTACGCAGGAAGAACCTTATTTTTTAGCATCTCTTTATGGTTTTCTGCATCTTATTACAGCATTGATGCTCCATG